ACATCACAGAGTCAGGTAGGCCTACAATCAGCCAAGCTTGTTCCCAGCCTCCAACCAGTGGTAAAGAACACAGCGATCATGCAAAATACAACCCCGTTGAAACAACAGATTGGAATAGATGTTTGGAGGGGGGAGCTGCCTGGGAAGGGCCCAGAGGGATGTTATCCTGCTAGGCAACACGAGAGGAGTTGTAAGATCAGGCACAAAACAAGAACAGAACTATCAGCAACAATATTAACTACCCCTGCCCCCCATACACAGCTGATAGAACCACCAAGGGCAACTTCTCAAACTCAGCTGCAATTATTTAATAAGACGAGGAGAAGGGCAGTAAGTACAAGCCACTCCCTCCCATAAGGCCCTTTCCCCTTGACCTCAAGGCAGTAGCTTCCTACCAGGTCTATTGACTAGCTTCCTTTCAGCGGTCTGATCTGCCCCGTGGAGTAACCATGCTGCCACAGCTCTTCTCTCCTGTTCAGATTTTACAATGTTGTGGATCTCAGAACAGTTCTGTAATACAAACAGCTCCTCACTACAGATCAAAGGAATCCCACACAGCTACAGACAAGCTGCCATGTCCAAATCCCTTTGAAGCGTCGCGCCTCTCCTGGAGAGGGTTCTACGCCAGCCACCCTTCTACTTAGCTGGATGCGCCCGATCTGGCTCCAGCTCTCCCACCCACCTGCAGTTCAGCGTGATGCAACCTCTGCGCTGAGTGTATCAGGGGAACTCATGAGGCAAAAAATGGTGACCATATTCAGAAGGGATAACGTGCCAATGTTTGGAGGCCTGGGGACAAGACCCCCGTATCTGCTAGTTCTATTACTATTTGTATTACAGTAGTGGCTGGATGTCCTACTGAGATCAGGGTCCCATTGTACAGCGCCTAGCACAAACATAGTGAGAGATCATCCCTGCTCTGAAGAGCTCGCTGTCTGAACAGCCAAGGCAGAGAATAGGTGGGAGGGGAAATGGAGGCCCCAGCTCATCACAGGTTAAATACCTGTGAGCATCGGGGCAGGAGAGTTGGAATGATTTGGCAACAGATCCAGACACAGACC